TCTGCTACTTTACTCCTAAAGCAGAGAGGCTATCGAGGTAACCCTGCACACTATCCTAGGGAGAAAGGGCAGTGGAAGTTAGTGGTGAGGCTGCTCAGACAGGATGGGGCACAGGTTGGCACTGCAAATACTGTATTTCCTGAGGGTACTGGAGCTGGCTGTTTCACTAGTGCTGAGTGTCTTGCACATGTGTTGTTGCAATCACACTGCAGCACCATTATTCTGCCCTTTGGTAGCATGTTTGTGTGTATGTAAAGAGTAGAGAGAAAATTGTTTGGAAACATGTTAGTGTTAGGGACCTTCCCAGATTCAGATCTAAGCTGTTGCTATCAGACTCTGAAGCTAGAAGTGTGGAAACTAGCTAAATCTGCTAAAAATTCTGCTATCTTCACTAGAAGTCCAGTGAGACCACCTAATCTTGAGAGCCTGCCATCACCCTGTGATTATATCTTACATATTTGGCTGCTTCTACGTGGAAGAAATACCTCCTGTCAGATTTGACTTCGGTTCAGCTCCTGGCTCTCACAAGGGCTAAATTTACATTTGGGTTAGAACATGCATGCAATGGGACAGAACCCCTGCCCATCCTTAATGCTTTCACCTCTGCATGGAGTGAGGAGGACAGGGGTCTCTTTCCTCTTCCTCCTGTTTTTAATTCCCTGGCTGCTCACTCTGTTAGGAAGTGGATCACAGGCATTTGGTGGATCCTTGGCTTTCACTGTGTGACTTGCAGTTGGCTCTCATCCAGGGTGACTGCACAGCCTGGCCAAGCTGTTTAAAGGCTGATAACAAAGCACCTCCAGAAATCAGCCTTAGTCATGCCATAGTGTTATAGATGCAATTTTCCCATGTGTAAGCACCACGAAATATTTCTGCCAACAGCAACAAGGAGAAAGCCGATTCAAAAGCAGACTGCAAATCTTATGGCTTCGAGAGACCTCATGGCCAGCAAGAAGAAAGGGATAGCAATAAGGAGCAAAATACTAGTAAAAGAATAAAGCAAGCCATTTCCACCTTGGAGTACAGCTGGTGATTATAATGAGGACTGAAGTGGTGGTGGTGAGAAGATCAGTTGCACCTCCTGGTGGCAAATTAAAGAATAAATAAATAACAAAACGTCCAGCTCAGATGTTCATGCATTTACTGTGCTATAATGAGTCTGGTCAGAATGACCTATAATAAGACAGCAGGAAATTCCTGAAACCTGTATCTTGGAGGAAAGAAAAATAAATACAACAAAAGCAAAATATTCAAGTCTTAGAGCTCTGCACATAACTTCTGAATCAATGATAGAGCCACCAGAAGTGGGAAATTCCTTTTAAAAGCCACATTTCTAATTAAACCATCTGAATACTCATATTTTCAATGCATATATTGCAAACCAAACCAGGAAAATGCTTATAGAAATGTGCTACACAATGGGCAGTATATGTTGTCCACTGTTTCAGTCATGCTGAGGCATGTGCAAATATACCTGGAAATGTTTAAGGCCAAGTTGGATGGAACTTGAAGCAACCTGGTCTAGTGGAAGGTGTCCCTGCCTGTGACAAGGGGTGGAACTAAATGAGCTTTACAGTCTCTTCGAACCCAAACCATTCTAAGAAATAGAAGAGAGCAGGAAAACACTGGTTGAATTAAAAAATAATATGGCCTAGCAGTCATGACATCCAAATTCCATGGATGGTGTTTAGCTCTCTATTAGCTCCAGGCTTCCCATTTGTTTCTGGCTTCTGTGACTCAGTTTTACCAGGCACTTTTTGAAGCTACAAGATGCCATTGTATGAAGTATCACATATGGTAATAGGTACCTCTGGAGCAACTCTAGGGACTCGTTGGAGTGTGTAGTCATATTCCTCTCACTGTGGGTGGCTTGAATACTAACATGAAAGGACTTCCCTAATTTTGAAGTAATCAGCTCAAAATGAAATATGTGACTTGATTTTTTACAGACACTGCAGTCACTGTAAGAGCTGCACTGTTGAAACTCCCCTTGGTGACAGTTCTACTGAAAAATGTTCTAATAAAATACCCTCCTCCCACACTGTTTTGGTCTTCTTAAACTTTTATGGGTCTCCAAGAAGTCAGAATGGGCTGCTAACTGTAATTTGGAAGTGTGACTTGGAAAATGTTCAACCCTAATTGCATAAAGCTTGCGTAGAGTGTGAAGGAATAGGCATAAGTTTTTCAGTTGGATCATAGCTCATCAGTCAACTCGGTAGTGACCTTGCAAGCTCTGTAAGAAACTGTCTTACAGGATGCAAGCCTTTGTTAATGTAAATGAGACAAATGATTATGTAGATTTCTGTCTGGGTTTCACAGCTTGGGCTCACAAGTGTGATCAACTCTGAAATGTTAGTTGAATTATGCTGGTCCAGGGGTTTGATTCTTGGGATGTTTTAACCATGCTTGTAAACATGGTTACATTGGTAAGAGAAAAAGGGTTTTCCTGTTATAACTTTATTTTGGGCACTGCCCTAAGCTCCACCTTATATACAGCATGGTTTTATAAGCATATCTTTCAAGTAGAGACAAGGTCTTAAAGTCACTAACAAAGGAAAAGGGCGAGGTGGTTGACTCACATGGGCAAAATCTTACTTCTTATCTAATCCTGCCTGGAGAGTGTTGCTAAGGACTCCAGCAGTGGCACACACATGATGCTGGGCAGGGGCCTGGGAGAGTCTGTAAGTGCTTGGTAAAAGCCTGCTTAACTTGTGAACATCAAAGGGACAACTGAGTTCAAATTCCAGTTCAGTGCGAGGTCAGTTGGAATTTACTGAGAAGCAATAGGTCAACAAGTGTGCGATGTAGCTCAAAACTGGCTGGAGCATGCAGCTTGTTTTAAGCTTGATAACAAACCTTGGTTTCTGGAAGGTAAGTACAGCTTCTGCAAGCTTCTGGAAGCTGGGATACACAGGAGATATTCTCATAGGGAGGGAACATGCATGCTTTAGGGAAAAGAAAAAGGGTCATGAGCCTCCTCTGTGTGGAACATTCCAAGCTGTGTTCAAAGCCTTTGCGCCTGGTCCCTTGACCCCAGTGCAGCTGCCCTGACCACTGTCTGCTGTGCCCAGTCCTGGGGTCGTGCGCATACTGAGCACCACACACCCCAGCAGGCAGAGCTCGGCTTTCTTCAGCATAATGCAGGAAGGCTGTGCTAGTCCAACGCCATCCTAGTTAGCACTATCCATGACTTTTACATTGGAAACTCCAGATACAAAATATGAAGACTTGCAGTGAGGATTTGGAGTCTCTCTCGTCCTTTGCTTGATGCCGTGTGTACTCAGGACAACCCCTGCCCAGAAGCAGCACCAGTGCCGGAGTGACCTGTGTCAGAACGCTTTCAAAATCTTGGTCTGTGATCTTATGATGAATACACACCAGAAATATCCTTGAGGAAATTAATAATATTTTTCACCCATGATTTGTACTGTGTGCAGTGTAAAAATTGAACGAAAAAATTGTTGCATTCAACAGCTCCAGAAATGTCCACCATGAAATGGAGAGATGTTCTGCAGGAAAAAAAAAAGACTGTTTGCTTTTATTATGTATGAGCACAAGGGCACCTTCTCTAGTCTTCCCAGACAAACTTCGTGCAGTTTATAGCTTCCAAGTGCCTGATTTTATAACATTTATATTATTTTAGAGTAGATTTTGGGAATGCACCGTATTTAGAAAGTAGAAAACATATCTATATAGCTATATACTCTAGAACGTATATACAGAAATTCATCTGTTATGTTCTGGTAGTGGGAACTTGCATTTGTAATAGCACCCATGGCGGTCATAACAAATTAGGCAGTTTTGATTCAGCCAGGATATTGATACTAACATGCAGCCAGCATGTCCCACGTTCACTATCCTAAGAAGGACTGCTCTCTCTACACCATGCTCTTTACAGAGCATGGTGGTCTATGAAGCACCATGTGAGCACACATGGTGTACTCACCGTGCTGTTTGTAGAGCATTGTGAGTACAAGGTCATGTAGGGACAGTACAAGGGGGACTGGCTTTAAACTGGAAGAGGGAAGACTGAGATTAGACATTAGGCAGAAGTTGTTCCATGGTGAGGGTGTTAAGGCACTGGCACAGGTTGCCCAGAGAAGCTGTGACTGCCCCATCCCTGGCAGTGCTCAAGGCCAGGTTGTACAAGGCTTGAACCAGCCTGGTCTAGTGGAAGGTGTCCCTGCCTGTGGTAGGGGGTTGGAACTGGATGAGCTTTAAGGTCACTTCCAACCCAAACCAGTCTGGGATTCTATGTTTTGCATACTTCGTGCCATCCACTGCAAGCACAGTTACTGATAATGTGAATGTCAGTCTTAAATACAGCATATGATGAAACAAAATAACTCTTTGCAGACTAATTAGCAGGAGAATTGAATAGCAAGGCTTTTGCAGTAAAAATCAGTTTGTGTTTACAGCTGATAATCAGATTTGCCAAATTAAGAGTGATAATTACATGTATCTAGCATCCTGCTAATTTCCCAAATACTCTAAGTGAGCTTCTCTGAAACCTTACAAGCCAATCATGCTTATAAAACAGCAAGACTGGCTGATGCCCTATATAGTCTATTTAAGGTCATTATGATGCTCCAATGCTTTTGTTTTGTTGTTTTTGAACAAATTGCACAGGCTGAAAGGAAACCTAGGGGCTCATTTCTATAATTGGTGACTGTTCTCTTCAACAGCATCGCACTGACAGATGAGCAAGCTCTACAGGAGCTAAATCTTCTTAAATAATCAGTCAATTGGAAGTTACTAATTAAGATCTGAAGAGATCCTGTCAAAGAAAGATTGCTTTATGAGGTGGGCAGTCAGGATAAGTGGGACATAAAAAGGAAGGAGGGAACTCAGCATGTTGGGAAAGGTTTTCTCCTGGGAATTGAATGAGTCAACAAAGTCACAATCTTATGAAAAAGATGGAGTGCAATGCTGAATACCAAAATGCATGAGGAAGAATGTAGCCCTCTTGATATATACAGTAATCTTTTTGCTATTTTTAGCATGGAAAAACCTCAGCTGGACATCTCTGGCATTGCAGTTCAAGAGGATGTGGACCAGTTGGAAAGAGCCCAAAGAGGAACATTGAGCATAATTAGAGGCCTTGAATATGACCAAGGAGGTAAGAGCTAAGTGAGTTACATGGTTCAGCTTTTAGAAGAGAAAACTTAGGGCAATGCAGGGATAATCTTCAAGTATGCAGGGGATAGAAACAAGCTATAAAAAGGACAGAAATAGTCTTTCTGAAGAGCCCATGTTTTATTTGATAGGATGTTTTGGTCTTGCACTACAGGAAGAAAGATGTAGGTTAAACAGTGGGGAAAAGCTTTCTAACAGTGCAGAGAGTGAAATATAGGAGTTTCTGTCTTTGAAGGTCTTTAAAAACACGTTAGATATACATGTATCACAAATGAAATAGGTATAGGTCATCCTGCCTGGAGCAGGTGGGTAAACCAGATCATTGAGGTATTTTCTTTCCCTGTTTTTCCATGATTCCACATTGAGGGTACGCTCCCTTATGTATGTTTGGATCTGATCCAATAGTCTAATCTGAGAGTCAAATTCCAAGATAAGATTTTAAAATAAGGTTTGAAAAAAATCGGTGTGATTTGGATTCCTACCTCCTTTTTTTGCCTTTTAGGAAGCCTGTCCTGTAAAAGTATTCTTCATTCAGACAAAGCCAGATGATTTTCTGTATGTTTATATTTAAATCCTCTGGTTAAATCTGTGTTTCCCTGAAATGCTTCTGCCTGCTCCAACGTGCCCTTGTGCATTAAATTGCTATTTTACTGAATGAATCATGCTGAGAACATTCAACATACCAAGCTGGGTATAAAAAAAGCCCAGTCAGAATGTTAACTAATCAACAGCAGCTTTTGCATTTCTTCTTTACAAGCAAAAAGGATTATTTCCAGGTCTCTCCACTGGCTATGGGTAACCCAGATATCTGAGTGAACAATAAACTGACCCAGCTAGCAGACAGCACGATGGGAAGCAGAGGTTTGGCAAAGACTGGCTGATGTAGCATGAAAATGACAGAACATATCTTAAATGAATAAAGTAAACAACATTGTAAATTCTGTTGATTCTTTCTTATGAGCTGTGCATAGTGTCTCTTCTGTTTATTTCATCCATGCTCTCTGTTGCCTACACGTTTGGACCTCCCTGTTGGCTACTTCAACTGTTTCTCTGGTGGCCTTTTATGTCTCATCAGTACTTGTGCCCTATTGCTCCACTGGTTTCTTCAAAGAGTCTTTTCCATCTTTCCTCTTGTTTTACCTCAAGAACAAGGAGCAAGTTAAACTGGGGTTAGGAAGTCAAGAACTACACTTGAATGTGAGCCAAAAGTCTCCACAACTGAAATGTGCTTGTCCTCTGTGTAGCAGCCAAGGGAGCAGCGCATTAACTCAGGAGCCTGTTGTACTACTACTTAGTCTAAAGGACTGAATTTCACATTACTTGGAAGTGTACCTTCTGCACAAGAAAAGAAAGGGAGCAGAGTTTTCCCCCTTGCCCTTCTTCAAGAGAATTTAATTGCGGGTGTCTTGATTCACTGTGTAAAGGACATTTGGGGAATGCCTTGAGACCATGTAGCCCTGGAGGCAGGCGTGCTTTGCTAAGACCCACCGTGTAGAAGTCCATCTGCAAATGTTTGCCCAAACAGTCACTTTCAGAGCTCTCTAGAATTCCATAAAGCTGATTTGCTTGCTTTTATTCTGTGCTTTGCAGACATCCTATATAAAGGATAAATGCTTCCCTTTCCTCTTTTATCATTCTATACTCCTTGCTTGCAACAGCTTTTCATTTCCTTATCTGTTATTATTCCAGTTCGTGAAATCCCCTTTTTCCTGTTAGCGGTTGCCTTGTATATTCCTCCTGTGGGGTGTTCTGGTGACACACACCTCAAAGCTGAGAGATGTACCTATCAGCACCCGTGTGGTGTTCAGGTATCTCCTTTGGCTTTTGCATCCAGGGAGCATGGAGCATACCTCTCACTCTTTCAGGGCTTGGGACAAGGCATTCTTCCATCCCTTGCCTGCTGATTCCTTCACACATGTGTGCTTGTTTTCTGATCACTTAAGAATCTGCACTCTCAGGGTGGTATGTCAGTGCTGCTGCTATCTGTGACTAAGAGGCAGGCCCCGTCTGGTCACGGCAAGTCAAGCAGATAGAGCTAGCTGCCTGACCACAGCCACTCTGCCTAAACAGAGCCTAAACGGGCCTGTGAGCCCGTCTGACTGCCTGTCACTGACTGACTAGAACCTCACCAGCTGCTTGGGGCTATTGGGTGGTGCTGTGAACCCTCACTGTGGAGGACTGCCCAGGTCCTGCTTCCTGATGGTTCTTGCTCCAGCTTGTCCTACACCTATAGCACAGGATTCCTGGCTTCAGAGAGTACTTCTGCCCTCCGTCAGCCTGCTGTCCCTCCAGCCATAGCCTGTTCTGATCTTAATAGATCTGGGTTCTGTACAGGGATGGCACCCAACTACCTACAGTGTGGTTAAGTTCTCCTGATGTTCAGCAGGGAGACATCAGTTTAAAGAGTGAACTTCCTTGGCACTGTGACATGTCAGAAAAAACACTGGGGTGTGCTCCTCCTCTGCCAGCAATGCAGACACAAAGCCCCTCAGGAGCTGTGACTGTCTTCATTCTTGCAGCGCTCAGTATCGACATTAGCAGTATGACCTACGCTAAAGTTGGCATGAAAAATATTTGTCTGTCTTTTCAAATTAAGTGTCTCTGGCCTGTTTTCTGTTGCAGCAGTGACACATGACATTGGCACAGCCAGTTCTGCCACTTTCCTGTGGGACTGGAGCCTCTGCCAGCATCCCAAAAGCAGCCACCACACTGCTAGTGCTTCAACCTGCATGGCCTCCAGAGCACAGTGAAGGGACTGCCTGGCTCTGTGCAAGGTTGTCAGTGTTCCCCAGGACAGTCTCCTGGTAGTTAGAGGAAAGATGAGGACACCTTGGAAAAGTGACTGGGATGTCTCCTCAAGACAATGTCTCCAAGTTCTGAAGTCCAGGTTGCTGTTTGGCTCCAGGGCAGTACTGAATTGCCACACGTGGGTCCTGGAAATCCCTATCTCATCCTTTAGCCTCAGTTCTCACTAATGAAATATCTATTTAACCCACTATTAGATATTCCATTATCAGTATTATTTTATTTCTTTTAAAAAGTCTCTTTCTGCTTTGTAATTAAAATCCATTCAAAACAGCATTTTCAGTATGAAATATCCTGACTTTTCAGGACAAATGTTTTGACTTCTGTGGTAAAATTATTTCTTGAAAATTTGTGAAGGATTTTCCTTGTGCAAAACTTGCTGTTGAACATCCTTTCTGAACAGTTCTCCCTCTCTACTGCTGGACAAACAAACTGGACATGGTCAAGCTTTAAGTCTGGGTGGGTTCTAGTGTCTTGACTTCTGCAGATGTTTGCCTAAAGCTGTAAGTGATTCAAGAAAAGCATCTGTCTTTGTGAGGCACACTGTCTTCATCTGCTTATTGACTCACAGTCTTCCAGAATATAGCTGCTTTCTCATTTTTCTTTAGGTGCCTTCCAGCCCCACTGTGTTTTCCATTTCATCTCCTTCAACAGTGTGACTAAGGATATCTTGAGGGTTAGTCTGTGACATGGCCAGTTCATTTGAGTTGATTATTTCTGGGAATCATACAGCTGGCCTCATATTTTGAAGTTTCCCTTTACCCCATAATATTTTTCCCTTCAAATGGCTTAAGGAAATGCACACAAACTAAAATCTGCATGTGATTTTACTTGGAAGGCTTAGCAAATGACATTGATTGTTTCTAGTCTGTTTCTACAACAAGAATGTTATTCTGAATTCTGTATGTAACTTCACTTATGCAGAAGGGAAGATATAGGAAAATTAATATTTCAGCTAGAAAGCAATATGTTCTAAGCAGAACAACACATTCATGGATTTTTCTCTTGCTTCTATCCAGATCCTCCTTTAATGAAGGAATGGCCTTGCTGGTCACTGCTTCAGCTTGGGCTGTGCAGTTCAGGCAACTCTAACTTTGATCTTAGACTCCCATGGTTGCTCAACTTTACTCACATACTGATGTCAATAGGATTATATATGAGGTTAAATTAGATTAATAAGTGTTTGCTAAATTTAGCTTTGGATTATGCACACTACTGGAAAGTACATGAACAATATTGTTGTGGGTAGCTGGAGTCACAACTGAGTCACCCCACTAGATGAAATAGGAAGAGCATCTGTTAATAGAAGGTGCTCTAACTTTGAATAAGATAAAACATAAAAGTCTAGTTTTTCATCTCTTCAGCGTATCCAGGCCCACTTGTTTCTAATTAAACTTAATTTTATTCACACAGCTGCAGGTATCAATCACAGTTCTGTGGCACCTGGGTGTTAACGCTCATCATATGTGCTGGCCTCTACCTGACAGATCATAGGGGAGTCATGTGCCTGTTTGCTGACTCCCAGCTCTGCAGCCAGGGAAATTGAAGCTTTCCTTTCATCAGGAAGTAAGTGTACTTTGCTTATCCGTATCTATAAATCTAAGAATTTTAAGTAGTTGCTCCATGTGTTTCTTAGTTAATCAGGTTTGTGCTGCTCTGTGAATCTGAACCAAGACTTGCGACTGCTTTTTGTTTTCATCCACAAAGACACTCAGAGAGCTTGGCTATTCCTCTTACAAGTAACAGAGAAAAACTCTGCCTATTTAAAGTCAGCATTAAAGTCTTGTTGGCTTCAGTGAATCAAGAAAGTTTGTGTATTAAAGGATTTTCCAGGCTGTTCAGAGCCTTCAGAAGTGTTTTTAGTTATCACGTAAACAAGTTGGCTTTTAATGTAGGCTGTTGTAAGATGAGGGAGGAGGTTGAGCAATGTGTGAAATGTGGTTTATTTGTACTCTCAGAAAGGCCTCAAAATAGCAATCTGTGGCGTGGATGTGAAGTGTGAAGAGGTTATCTGGCTGACCTGGGATAACACAGGGTATCTGCAGCACGACTAAGAAACAGCCCACTGTTTTCCTGTGCAATGCTGCCCCTAGTGAAACCGCAGTGAACTCTTAAGTGATCTTTGTTAAAACACCATTTTTTTATGTACCTTTCTCTCCTTTTTTCTGAGTTCTTGCAGGCTACTGTCACCTTATTCAAGGGGTATTCACTGCCTCTTAACCAGTGATTTATTAAGGTGGCATTAACTAATCCAAGAGCTACAGAGAACTGCTCAAACTAGCAACTACTTTCTTTTTGAATGTAAGTTAATTGGAGTCATGCAAGACTATGGTAACAATGTGTGGGTCTATGGCTTAACCATGTAGATATTGTGCCTCTACTATCTTTTTCTAGGTTTGCTATGCCTTATTGCTTGAAGGACTGGTAGGAAGGTGAGTTCCCAAAATGAATTGAAATGGCAGGGATTGTTGTTGCACACAGATCTGAATGTGCCCTATAGGCAATATCATTTTGTACCTGAGAATGTAGACAGCAAGGCTTGTGGAAAGGAAACTGTAGGACAGAGAGAAAATGGATAATTTTCATCTGAGCAAACAAAATACATGTCTGGGATACAAACTCAAATTTCTTTCGTCTTTCATTGTGAACTTTTATTGTAATGTGGCCTGAGAAACTTGGCTGATGGCTTTGTCATGGACCGTATCGGTCATCTTGCCTTTCTATTGCTCTTTATTAGTCTTCCAAGTGGGTGCTGTAGCACCCTGAAATATGATCTCCACATGGTAGGACAGAAATTAATGGTAAAAATGAGTCTCCAAGTGATTTGCACCATTTTGTATTTTTTTTTTTCTCCATAGGAATTCATACACTCAGAAATGATGCATTTGATTTTAAATGCTTATTAATGCAAAAAAAACCCAGACTCTGAATCTCAGGTGTAAAAGGTATCCAAGTGAGTATATTCAACAAGAACTTTACCACCTTTTTCCTCAGTATGGTTTCAGAATAGCCTTAAATCGAAAGGGAGGCTCTGTAACTTGCCTACAGAAGTCTCACGAGGAGGCAGCCACAGCAGGGATGGAGGTGCGAGCCCTGGGATGGTCTGTAATATAGTTGACAGATTCTGGTTTCCCTCATTAACCTTTGAGCTCCAAATAGCCGGGTTGCAAGTCCCTCTGAGACATGACAACATTGTTTGATAACAGAAGACAGCACAAGGGAGGTTAAAACTGCGCTCTCAGTTGTCACCACCTCTTTTGCCAAAGGCATGTGATGATGGTCAAGGGGCAGGTATTGAAAACACTACGGGGTATTTTTCCCAAGGAAAAGCTAAGCATGAGAAGAAGAGGAATGTGTCTGAAGATCAGTTTTGTTTTGCACGTTAGTGGTGTGCTAGAGAGGACAGAAGTTGAAAATGAGACTGGCTCTCTAAATATCTGAGGAAATACAAGATTCACTATTTTCTGACCTATATTTTGGTAAGATGTGTTTTTGTGAGCAAAATGAGACCTTTTTATTGTTGTTAGTGAAAGCAGTGAAATGCACACCAAGTTGCTGTCATGATAAATCAGCAGAGTAGCAGTATCTCCATCACTAATCTCAGTTCTTCAATAGTGGTATATTTATAGCTTTCCCTCTACCTTCCCCTCTTCCCCTTCATATATGGGGATGTGGTTATCCCTTATCTCTGCATTACCAGTTTTCACCTGCTGCACTGAGGCAGCTGGATGGGGCGATTCAACTTATTTTGTTGCCTACTAGGATAACTGTCTCAAGTCAGGCAGTCCCCAGGCAGGATGGAGCAAACATGGCAGCTCCATGGTCTATGGCTCTTGGTCACTTATTTTGGATAATGGGTATGTCCAATACTCTGCTTATTTTGGCTAACTGTAGAGTTCCCTTGGGCCCTATGAAACATGGTGCAGTGTAGATTACTCTGTAGACTGCTCATTTTCATGCCAGCTGCTGGATCAGTGCCTGAAAGCAAATCAAGACTGGGCATCACAGTTGAAATTCAGCATTTGGGTATTTCGGAGATACTTTCTTCTGACTTTTATCAGCTTTGTTTGATAATTCTCATCCTTGTGACCTGAGTGAGGTGCGAACACAGATCTGGGTAGTTTATTTTCCAGGATTTTTCTTAAGTAATCAGCACTGAAGTGATACTCTTCAGAAAACATTAATGCTCTGTAGTGGCTGTTTTGGAGAGGACGTGTCAGGCAAAAATCTTGGGAACTTCTTTCATGTTACTACTCTTTCATCAAAGCTTCTCATTATCCTAGCACTCAGATTAACATACTGTCAACCTAATTTTCTTCTGGTGTTTTTAATGCTGATGCTTTTCATCCTGGAACTAATGCCAGTAGAACTCTTAATTTATGTTACATTTGACAGGGGAGCCCTGAGTTTTGGATGGAGATGTTCTTGCAGTTATGTCAAAGTCTGTAAAGGGTTTACAGCAATCACAAAAGCAGAGACATTTGACAAGCCAGACACCTCAGAAGATGCAGTGAAAACTTATTGAAGTTTAAGGGAGGGTTTCTGGTGACATATTTATCTCTTCATCTGCCCCAGTGTACATGGGAGTTTGGGGTCTGCAGAATGGTGCCCTGTGTCAGGAATGAATAGCATGAGGTCTTGACAATGTGTTTATCCTCCTCCACATGAAGGACTGAGAGCAGAAGTACCTTGTCACTTATCTTAGGTTTTTGTCCCTTACTTGTCACTGTGTCAATTTTCAGCACTGCTGGTCTGGCTCATATTTTAGATGGCCTCTTGACATTTGACATCTGCAAATACAATGATTTTGGTAGAGTTCCGCATACTTAGGATCTGAAACAGAAGAAGAACTTGGGGACTGAATGAAAGGTACTGAAATTTTTTTCTTAATCAAAAGTTCTTCTTATATTACATGAAAATGAGTAAAATTATATATTTAAGCTTTAGCTCTTGGAAAAACCTGCCCAAGAAACCTGTAATAAAGATTTCATCAGAATAAGTTGAACTTTTGTTCTCTTGATCTTTCTTTAAGCACTGAACTAATTTTTGGGGTTTTATTTCTCTGTGTGAGGAATGATAGTTGCTTTAGTTTAGAGTTAGGTGTGAGCATTGCCTTTCAAGTGTAACCAGATCTGCACCTCCGGAGTAGCACATACTTCTCCAAGTCACAGAACCATAGAATAGTTAGCGTTGGAAAGGACCTTAAGGCCATCAAGTTCCAACCCCCCTCCCATAGGCAGGAACACCTCCCACTAGACCATGCCACCCAAGGCCCTGTCCAACCTGGCCTTGAACACTGGCCAGCAATGGAGCATTCACAGCTTCCCTGGGCAATGCATTCCAGGGCGTCACCACCCTAACAGGAAATAATTTCTTCCTTATATCCAATCTAAACTTCCCCTGTTTAAGTTTTAACCCATTACCCCTTGTCCTATCACTACAGTCCCTAATGAAGAGTCCCTCCCCAGCATCCCTATAGGCCCCCTTCAGATACTGGAAGGCTGCTATGAGGTCTCCACGCAGCCTTCTCTTCTCCAGGCTGAACAGCCCCAACTTTCTCAGCCTCTCTTCATACAGGAGGTGCTCCAGTCCCTTGATCATCCTTATGGCCCTCCTCTGGACTTGTTCCAACAGTTCCATGTCCTTTTTATGTTGAGGACACCAGAACTGCACACAATACTCCAAGTGAGGTCTCATGAGAGCAGAGTAGAGGGGCAGGATCGCCTCCTTTGACCTGCTGGTCACACTCCTTTTGATGCAGCCCAGGATATGGTTGGTTTTCTGGGCTGTGAGCGCACACTGAAGCCGGCTCATGTTCATTTTCTCATCGACCAACACCCCCAAATCCTTCTCCACAGGGCTGCTCTGAATCTCTTCTCTCTCCAGCCTGTAGCTGTGCCTGGGATTGCTCCAACCCAGGTGTAGGACCTTGCACTTGGCATGGTTAAACTTCATGAGGTTGGCATCAGCCCAGCTCACAAGCATGTCAAGGTCCCTCTGGATGGCATCCCTTCCCTCCTATGCTTAGCCAAACAAATAGAGCTGAACAAAATCTTTCTAGGAAATAAGTAACATAGTGTCATAGAATAGTTAGGGTTGGAAAGGACCTCAAGATCATCTAGTTCCAACCCCCCTGCCATGGGCAGGGACACTTCACACTAAACCATCTCACCCAAGGCTCTGTCCAACCTGGCCTTGAACACTGCCAGCAATGGAGCATTTATCATTTCTCTGGGCAGCCTGTTCTAATGTCCCACCACGCCCACAGTAAAAAACTTCCTCCTTATATCTAACCTGAACTGCCCCTGTCTTAGTTTGAACCCATTATCTCTTGCCTTATCAGTACAGTCTCTAAGGAAGAGTCCCTCCCCAGCCTCCTTGTATGGCCTCTTCAGATACTGGAAGGCTGTTATGAGGTCTCCACACAGCTTCTCCAGGCTGAACTGAACATGATGAACTAATATACAGTTCACAGTTAGTTTGCAGAGTCATTGAAGTCTGGGAATGAGACAGAAAAGTGAGAAAAAACACAAGCCACAATGTCTTTCTGCCAGCTGTTGTGCTTCTTGCTTTCCAGGTTAGTTCAGTGCTTTGCAAGCTGCAGCCCTTAGCTTTTTCTGGGACTTTCTAGTCTAATGTAACATTTGGAGTTCCACATTCATGAGCTTCCTCATCTACACCCAAAATCTGAGGATAACATGGATTGTTTGTTCTTTTTTCGTCTGACTATTGATGAAAGGCTGTCTTCTATGCTTCTGTGCGTTGCTCTTCAGTTAAGGGAAAAAGAGTTTGCACTTGAGTCCAAGTAAGGTTTTTTGAATTTATTCTTTGGTTGAAAAAAAGAATTATTATAATTTGTGAACCTGTTAATGCCCCAACTGGTTGGGGTTTTGTTTGCTTGTTTATTTGTTTTATAAGAAAACAGTATGCAATTTATCAAGCAGAAAATTTCATTTAAAGAAAATGCAATAAGAAAGAAAATCCCTTCTGCTATGATGAAGACTGTCGCTTGATGCCAACATGATTTTCCAGTGATCATTGAATACAAAGAGTGAGGGAGCACTGAGCAGGAGACTGTCTCAACAAATGCTCATGAAATATCCCCTGCCCAGTCAAAAGCTCGCACTATCCACACACCCTTTGGGCAATTAATTGAAAGGATACTTGGCTCTCCCTGTAATCCTCATCAGTGCATGTGTCTGTAGCTGGGGCACTTGTGGGAAGGGTGCAGCAATGCTGACAGTGACTTGCTTTAAGTTTTATGTCCTCCTAGGGTGAGAAAAGACATGCCAGAACAATATATGTTAAGCATCTGCAGTGGTCAGTGTAATGAGAGAGCTGTTTATTATGAGAGGACTATTCCGTGACAAATACGGAAATATGCTGCAGCCTATTTGGTGCCCTCTAAAGGGCATATATGCATGAAAGCCAGCGCAGTGATGAGAAGCTGTACTGGTCATTTCACACTTCCTCACTCTCATGCCTACCTGCAGAAACTCCAGGCCTGTCCAAGATGCCAACACACCTGGTTTATATCTTGAACTGATACACTGGTGTCTTCCTTCAGCATATACACTGGGTGGAAATCACTAAGCTTATTTATAGTTGGATCACCCCCACCCCAATTGTTTTACCCTTACCAAGACTTCACCCTGGAGACTAGAAGCCTTTCATGAACCTAAGAAAGTAAAAGCTTTCCCTTGAAACTCATGGTGTTACCGGTAAGCTTACTTTGCTCCTGGCAAGAACCTTGGTGTAGGGAAAGTCTCAATTTTCGGCAGTGCTGAAGCCTAGTGCTTCTGTTACACTAAATGTAATCCTGGTATGTTAAAGGGCCAGCTTCTCTGCTTTGAGTCTGAGGGAATTATGATAAAGAACTCAGAGAGGTGACACTGGCCTGAGTAACTTGGAGAGAAACTGGGTTTCTGCTGCTCCCTTCAGTGTGGGAACACTGGCACTCATCCACCTTGGTGATGTCAGCTGTGCAGAGGCTTATCTGAGCTTTGCTCAGTGGAAAAAATTCTCTTCTTTGCTCCCACTTAATCAAATGTATGATGTGAGATGTTCAACAGCACTGTTGACTTGGGTTAAATCCAAGCGAAATAATGCCATCTATGGGTGATAAGGTTGTGCAGCTGCCGGGCTAGAGCTTTGGAAACACAAGTGCCAAGAGACTGACCCTATCTCCTCCCAGGACAGCGTCCCACCACTGCTGCCGAACCACACCGCACCATGCCTCTTGAGCTTGTGTCTGTTTTTAAACTGTTGAATAAGCCTCCTGACTCCAGTGAGATGCAGATGAAATGCATGCTCATACACGCTGATGCAGAATAGTCCCAATTTCCTTTGGAGCTCCCACTGGGGAAATGCTGGAGAACATGTGCACTACATAGGCTAAGGTAGAACAACACAGACCCACGTGTTCCTTTCGGCAGCGGCTCGGCTGCTTGCAAACTGCAGTAGGGAAGTTTATAAGGGCAGTGAATGCCCTCCAGTGGCAGAAAACAGGGAAAATGATTGGCTCCGTTTGTTTTCTACAGTTGTTACAGAACGGGTGTATGTAGTTCAATTTCAGTTGGTACATGTGTCCAGTTATGGTGTAGGGGTGCAGTATTAAGTGGGCATCCTTGTCTCTGGTCTTGCAGTTCACAACAGTGCACAGCAAAGAGCTAAACCTTTGTCAAAATCTTTGGCAGCAGTTACTTTTATATAAAGTAATGGACCTCATGATGCTCTGAGAAACTTGTGTCTGACTGTCCAGCTTCATCAGCTGCCTGTTGATACAGTTGTGTTTGCTGGAAGCTATAGCAGAGAGGGGACATCCAGCATGCTGCAACCACCAGGGAGAGATGGGGAGAAAGGCAAATGTGGGGCCTGAGTGTGTGAACCTCTTGCACAGTGAGGTTTTATGCAAGTGGTGGGTTTTTTCTCTGTTGTTCTTGGTTTTTAAACAATGCTGTCATAATATGGCCAAGCATATTTGTGGGTCAGAGAGATTAAGGTGATTATTGCTGATTTATAATGTGAAAACGTCCTTTAGAGGGCACCAAATAGGCTGCAGCGTATTTCCGTATTTGTCACGGAATAGTCCTCTCATAATAAAGAGGTGAGGTGGGATGGAAATGTGCTTGATCAACGCTGCTTTCCAAATTCAGAAAAGGTTTATATATAGTTAAGAAACTTTTATAACTTTCATAACCAAAACCCCAACAAGGGCTCAAATACCATCCCAGCGTGCCAGTTTGCTGAAGTGGCTTCTCCAGCTTGCAGAAACCTTCTGATGTCCCAGCACTGAGGAACTGCAGGGCAGGTGCAGCAGGGCCAAACAGCCACGTCTGTGTCAAAAAGTCTGTAAGTGTTTCCTTAAGACAAACAGTTATCTATGGGTTCATTAGAGAAGTGGACCTGCCAGCTGTTAGCTCCATTGTTCCCGCATCCTAGGATCACCATCTGATCATTCTGCTTGTTGCTGGGGGCTTTTTCCTGTTCCATGTTTTAGCTTGTTTTTCTAGTTAGGCATGGAGTGCCCTGCCTACTCTTAGTATAGGCCCGTAGCCTGGAAATTAAAAACTGGCATCAAAGACAGCGTCCTGCCCAACATATTTTCACCCTGAGTTGCCCCAGAGTTTAAATAACTGGAAATTACATTGCCATGAGCATCTTTAAAAATGAAATTAAGCACTACTTTTTTTTTCTTTTTTTTTTTTTTTTATATTTTTCTCTGTAATTTTTTGCCATATAAAGCACAGCCCTTAAAATACTCTGGAAATATTCACCTCAGGGTTGATGCTGATTTGTCTGTTCTCTCCAGTTGCCCTCTGCCATGCCCAAACTGGCCCTGTCTTTGATTTCTCTGTGGCAGGAAGACAGTGGTCTTGACCAAGACTTTTTCAGTTGTCTTTGCTAACATTACCTTGATATTTGCAACACTTAAAGTAAGTCTTCCTTCCAAACAGAAAGGTGCCCTGAGCTCTAAAGTGAGCTCTGAAGTGTATTTTTGGGTGATACAGAGGCTGCCCTCTTGGAAAAGAGATCCAGCTGTGCTGCACATGCTTTGTGAATATAGACACAGGTCAAAGAAGTAATTTGTAAGTTAAATGACTCTGGATGTTGTCTCTGGAAATACTGCTTTTCCAGAAAGAATTTTCTGGGTTCATCATCATTTGGTGATGACCCAGACAGAAACTGATGGAAGCATTAGCATGTGTCTTTTGTAAGCTGTGGCTGGTTTGTTATATAAGTTTAGGTACAAGTTATTTAGCATTTCTGTCATTTCTTCAGGTGTCTCCTACATATATATATAACCAACTGCTCAGAGGGTTGCTATTTAACAATTCTTTGCTCATGAGGGATACGCTTGAAGTTGCTATAGAAAAGGGACTAATAGTGCTCCTATTATTTATGTTAGCTCTCAAGTGTGCTAAGAGATCTGCTTTCCTTCCTGATCTCGGCAGATCATTGGGTTTACACTTCTTCAGATAGTTTCCTCAGTTCAGCAAGAAAATGTAAAAAGATATTTTGTATTTTATTATAGGAAATGCAATAATCTATGGGATTAAATACAAGAGTTACCACAGATATTCATTAAAAGCACCGATTATCCTTCTTTTGTTTTAAATAGCTCAGTAAAGTTGATAAAAGTACTAAGAGTTGTATAGCTCTAATCAGAGCCAAAAAAAATTTGTTTGGTGTTTTTTGTGTTTAAATCGTTTATTGTTACTTTGCCATTTTTCTTTGAGTTTGGCATTATGAACACTTACAACACACAAAAATGTAGATGAAGACAATATTATTAGTGATTCAAGAGCAAAAAAGATCCTCAGTTAAAGAAAAACATATTTTTCTGCTTTCCTCAGATTGGTTTCCAAAGGCATTTTTCACCTTGATCCAAATGAGGTTTTCTGCTGTTGAAGGCTATTACATTGGAAGCAAAAATGGTCTTCAAAGGATGTTCTGATGGAGCTGATTCCATGCTTATAGATTGCAGGTGAACATTAAGTTTTCAAACATGAGTTATAACAGCATGTTCATTCTGCACAACTCAAATAATACAAGTGTCCAAAAAGTAATTCCTGTTGACTTTCCTGTTGAAAACTCATGTTCTCAAACTCCATCAGTCAATATTGCCTTGTGTGCTTTTGTGTGTATTGGTAGGGTGTGGGGCTCAGAGGAAAATGAGAGCTTGTGTTGACACAGTGTTACTTGGAGGAAAACGTACATATTTACTGGGAGAGTCATGTTTAACCAGCCAAGTGGCGTTCAGCACCATTACTCAGTTGAAATCAAGCACCACAGTTAATGTGTTCAAACAAGGATTTGGATCTGCTGCTTGAAGTCTTAGAATCATAGAATGGTTACGGTTGAAGAGGACCTTAAGATCATCTAGTTCCAACCCCCCTGCCATGGGCAGGGACACCTCGCTCTAAACCATGTCACCCAAGTCCTTGTCCAACCTGGGCTGGAACACTGCCAGGGATGGAGCATTCACAGCCTCCTTGGGCAACCCATTCCAGTGCCTCACCAGCCTAACAGGAAAGAATTTCTTCCTTATATCCAATCTAAACTTACCCTGTTTCAGTTTTAACCCATTACCCCTTGTTCTATCACTACAGTCCCTAATGAAGAGTCCCTCCCCAGCATCCCTATAGCCCCCCTTCAGATACTGGAAGGCTGCTATGAGGTCTCCATGCAGCCTTCTCTTCTCCAGGCTGAACAGCCCCAACTTTCTCAGCCTCTCTTCATACAGGAGGTGCTCCAGTCCTCTGATCATCCTTGTGGCCCTTCTCTGGACTTGTTCCAACAGTTCCATGTCCTTTTTATGTTGAGGACACTAGAACTGCACACAGTACTCCAAGTGAGGTCTCACGAGAGCAGAGGGGCAGGATCGCCTCCTTTGACCTGCTGGTCACTCTCCTTTTGATGCAGCCTAGGATATGGTTGGTTTTCTGGGCTGTGAGCGCACACTGAAGCCAGCTCATGTTCATTTTCTCATCGTCTTGCTGTGCTGTCAGCCCTGATCTGCTGGGCTGGGTGAAATAGTAAAACCAGAAGTCTCTGCCTTGTTTGATCCTAACAGCCCTGTGCAGGGCCTGGCTTGGTGGAGGCATAGTGCAAAGCTTTCAGATGTTGGCACCCTTGGAGGTTGCTTTGTTTATCCTTAGTACTGCTGTCTCTGCTCCCTGCAGCCAGAGAGGGAGGATGTGAGCTCTGAGCATTGACTGGCACAAGGGCAAACTGCCCTTTGGCTTTAGCCCTCCTGAGGCCCTGTTCCTGGAGTTAAAGGGTCCTCTGTGGCATTGACCTCCTGGTGGGAGGGATGTCCTCTCACAGATGTGCCTATTACTCAAACAGCAACAGAGCAGCTACGGCTGCCCTGTCCTCAAATATGTCGTACACTTGTGTTCCCTGCAGTGGTGATCACTGGAATTAGTGAAGTCTAAGAAAGTTTTAATTAGCCCTTCTCTGCATATCAAGCCAGCTTCAGTCTGTGGTGGTACCCTGATACCAAAGGTTATTTTGACCCAGAAAGGAACTGGAGTTCACTCAAGCTCCTCCATGCTCAGATCAACAATATATTCACATTAATGGAGCAGTTGCAGCAGTGCTGGGTTTTCAACATGGTGTTTTTCATTCCTGGTTTGATATCTGTGCTTAGCACTGTGGTAGCCGTCTCTCACACACGTTTGTGGTTTATGACGTTTCCCTTGCTCTTAGCTGAGCAGAGTGGTGGCCCTTGCACAAGTCCTTGGGTCAGTGTCCTTAGGTCTTGCTCTTGTGGGCAGGGGCACTCGGGGGATAACAAGTGGCAAGAGGAGGCCTTGCTGTTTCACTTTTTTCTTGTCCTTTTATTTTTATTTTTTCCATTTTTCTGAATGTTGCCCTGTGAAGGAAAGGAACCTGTGAGCTCATGCCACTTGTATGCTCAACAACCCTTCTTGAGAGATCATTTTTCCCTCTCCACAAGGAGCAGTGAGGGATGTGCTTATGAGTGAGGATGGTTGTTCATGGCCGCCGAAAATCTGAGCTCATCCCATCTTTCTTTTCCTAAACAAGAGCCTAAAAATACTGCCAAAATCGCTAGCTACAAAGCATAGAATATGGCTCCTTGGTCACATAAAGCTGACTGGAGCTATGCCTCTGTCCAAAACACTGTCAGATTTATAGGCCATGTGGACTAAACAAAAATGCTTGGAAGGAAAAAAGGGTCTTCCAAGGGTTATTGATTCTTCACTTTATTCTGGACAAATAAACCTCTGAGTAAAAAATAGAATGGAAATGTGTTTACTCAGATGGGACATTTGATCTGACAAGGAGAGGCAGTTGTAGAGCCAAGCTTGCCCTATGTGCTGTTTAACTTCCAGGAGATCTGGACTGCAGATCAGACCCATTAGTCCATAACCCTGGCAAAACCTCCCGTACAAAGTAACAAATGTCAGAGAAGACTGTGGCAATGCTTACTAATCCTTAGCCTGCACTATGGTGATTTTTTCAAGTTGGATCCATGACTTGGAAACCTAATTTCTATCCTATGTAAGACAATGTACATATCACGTCTTCACCGTCTTCAGCAGCTCTGGGGTTTTATGTGCCCTGCAGTGGGGATTTGAGCTTTGCACGATTGAAAGTCATCAAGAGCAGAGCAATGCAGAGGCCCCCCCCTCTTTTAATGAGAGACTGTTAGTGCCTAACATGGGTTTCTTCTGCTTGGTGGGCAGGTAGCAGCAGGTGTGGATGGTGCTTGGAACATCTGCATGGGTGTCTGGTGCTGCACCTGAGCTGCTGGCGAGGTGTCCTCTGGTTTTGGTCCCTGGGGTCGTGCTGGTACTGCTCTGCTCAGCTCAGGTGAGTCAGGCGGGATGTGCTGCCACGGGTGCAAGCATGCTGGGAGCTGAACTGAGCCTTGGACCTCTGAAGTCGGAGTGGGATGGCTGTGTGCTGAGTCTCGGTAGGCTCACCTCCTGGATAGACAGAGTGAGGCGGCTTAACCAAAGCTCTGGAGTGAGGTGCTGAAAGTGTCTAGTGCGTCCCCTGGTGTGTGTGTCCTGCAACTTCATATACGCGAGTCTCTGCCACTCCGGGCGCTGGGCTGCAGCCCTCTGGCACTTCTAACTGCGCTGCATAAAGTCATGTTTCCAGCCACTGAACCAGGACTGCTGTGTTAGGCACCAGGCTGTTTGAATTTATACCTCACTTTGACAGCATAAATAATGTTAAAAGTGGATAGTCTGATGAGGGAAATGTACATCCATAATGTAGAAGATAATTCCTGGGGTACCTAGCATTAGGTTTCAAAGGGAATATTCATAGAAGACACCTTATATCAGCCTTCCAATACTTAAAGGGGGCCTACAAAAAATATGGAGAGGGCTTTTTTCAAGGGCATGTAGGGGTAGGACAAGGGGTAATGGCTTTAAGCTCACAGAGGGGGAGTTTATATTAGATACAGGAAAAAAATTCTTCCCTGTGAGGATGGTGAGGCACACTGACACTGGTGGTGAGTTTGCCCAGAGAAGCTGTGGCTGCCTCATCCCTGACAGTGTTCATGGCCAGGTTGGACAGGGATTGGAGCAACATGTTCTACTGGAAGATGTCCCTGCCCATGGCAGGGGGTGGAACTGGATGAGCTTTAGGGTCCCTTCCAACCCAAACCAGCCTGGGATTCTATGTACCCATGTAGTTATAGCATTACCTATGTGGTATATTTCTTAGTGGCTACATGCTTTTCATTCTTTAGTTATTTTTAAGTGTTTTTCCATGAGGTCATCAATAGCACTTGTTATTAATTTCTGCAGTAGGTACTAGAGGCTTGTCCTTGGTAGGCAGCTCCGGTTTCCCTGTGGATTGAGGGAGTGCTCCTGCTGCCCAAGAAGCTGCTGGGAGCCGCAGCCTCTCCCCAGGCCTTCCTGTTCAGTGAGTGATCATGTGAAGAGCTGTTGGTACTAATCTGCTTAAATACCACAGTGCCATGACCCTGTCTCTTCCTAACTTGGGCATCTACCATTTCTGGGCTCTCTTCACTGTCGCATTATGCCCTGCACTGGGGACCAGAGCTCTGCATGGTTGAAAGTCACAAAGAGCAGAGCAATGCAGAGGTGGATGCAGAGCTCCCCACATTTTAATGAGACACTGTTAGTACCTAACATGGGTTTCTTCTCCTTGGTGGGTAGCACTGCTGGCAAGCCAGGGGACCATGGAATTTCCCTCCCTGCTCCAAGAACTGCTTTGAACAGTAATGTAGAAAATGTCAGGGAGGATCACATTAGTATTAAATGGAAAACTTTCAGGGGGCTTTTCAGCTCTATTGGCACAGTAATGTGATAAATCATCTGCAAAGTGCTTTTCCAACACATGTGGCTGGGCTGTACAGAGTGTGATGCATCTGACACCAAACATCTGTCTGGGCTGCAGCAACGTGCTCTGTTTTTCTTATCATGTTGATTTACCTTACTCATGTGGTGGAGATTAAATTCCCCTGAGCCTCGGCATCCCCTTGGCTGCTGTGCTTCCCAGCTGTGTGCCCTCCATCCTGTACATCAGAGCAGGGATGGTGAGCAGGCTGAGGGCTGGGGGAAGGCAGGGCTGGTGCAAGGCTTTCAGCTATGCCAAGGTTTGAGGGTTAAACTTCACTTAGGCGAATTTAACACAGATTGGCTTGTATTAGGTTGCAGGTTGCATCCAGAAATGGAACAGGACTTAACTGTCTTCCTCTGGCGAGGGTAAGGCTGTAACTTCACCAGCCACACTTATTCTCACTGGCCCTTAATGGCCTATCTCCCACAAGATGTTGATCTCATTATGTTTCCACAAATTTCATCTGAATTCCCAGAAAAGTGACTGAACACCCAATACCCAAGGTCCTAGTTTAACCACAGGCATAATCCTGAACATTAGCTTTTGGCCTTCACTTAGTTCCCATACAAAGAAGATGGCTTTGTGCTGCAGCTTGTGTTTGTATTGCTGCTGCTATGAGGCTGTGAACACTGAGTCCAGGGAAAGAAAGTCAAATAACCAAGTGGAAATCTGCTAGACTGGTTAAATCCCACAGAGTGGGAAAGGAGCTTTTCCCGCAGCACATGTAGCCAGAAGCAGACTCTGAAGTACCCCAGAGGTTACACCTTTGCTGCAGCTTCTTACTCAAGAAGAATTAACCTGACTGGGAAAAAAAGTTGTAAGTAAATGCTTAGCTCTGGAGGTGAGTGAAGCACATTAGAAGAGACAATGTTTTGCCCTCTGACACTGATGGCTCCTTTAGCTTTGATAGTTACTCATTATGAGAAACCAATTAAATTATGCTTTTTCAATTAATAATTACGAAAATAATGGCGATGGATGAAAACTGAGAGTTAAACCAGCTCCTCCATCACAAGCAGCGTTTCAGAGCTATGCTACTGCAGAGCTTGCTGCAACAGCCTACTTCTCACCGGCTTCCTTTCAAGGGCATTATATGGAACACTTTCCTAATGACAATCCAGTTTGATTAAAGAAAAAACAGCAGGCCAAGATTTCAGAATCTGAGTATGACATACTCTGAGAATTTCTGTGTCTTCTCCATGTCTGTTGCTCTGTGTTCTTTGCTGCTTTTGATGCTTACAGAAATAACTTGAGATGCATGGCTTGATTACTGCCAACATGAATAGTTATTGATCTAAATGACTGTTTGGAGGGAAAAGATGATAAACCACACTCTGCTATCCACATGTTAGACCTCCTGCCTTATTTTGCTTGAGCAAATGACAAAAAGACATGTATCATGGCATGGCAACAAAGAAAATCCTCTGCCTGCTTTAAAGTTACTGGTCACAGACACGTATTAAAAAATGCCATTAAAAATACATGAAACATTTGACTTTAAATATGTTCTGCTAACTAAATCAGCTCATATCCTACCAAAGATCCCAAAAGCAGCTCCTAACCCTTTCACTGACCAGATGCCCTTGACAAAATGAGGAGCAGCCTTGTGGCCACTGAATTGCCATGGCTCTGCTGAAGATCCTTATAAGTAGCCAGAGAAAACAGTAACATGTTTTTGCTCCAGGTGTGTTTTCTGTTCCGCAGCACCATCCTGCAGGAGATGTTGAAGGAGACTGGGAGATAACCTCTCTTCTCCCTGTTCCTCCAGGAGGAGTGGTACCACCATCCTGCCCACACCTTGGTCCTCACAGCACTAGCACCAGGGCAGAAAGGGTGGCTGTAAAATGCCCTCACACACTTCTCTTAGATCTCATCCTGTGTTCAATAATGAGAATGGTTTTAGTTAGAAACATCCCATATAGCTGCTATGTCTGTGCTATAGTTAAAGTCTAATACTATGGCTATTTTCTACAGCTGATGTAGTTAGTTCCCTGGCTTTGATAATTTCCTTTCCTAGAATTTAATCAGATGTTGCATAGACAAATAGGTTTTGTATGGCAGTTGTGATTTATCTTCCTTTTTGTTTATATGTGGGGTGGACTTTTTGTTTGTATTTGTTTTTTTAAAGGGGATTTTGTGCTGTTTCTATGTTTCTGTCTGTTGTGTGCTACTGGACTGGCATAACAGGGTGGGGGGATTTTTGATGACAATTTAAAATGTGTGTATAAATATATTTATTATGTTAGCTTTTACTAAAAGTGATTTCAGATTTCCAGCATGAATCTTTCAAATACGAACTTGCCCTGAGGTGACAGTTAGCTTCATGAATGCGTAGATAGAATAAAAACTCATTTGCCTTAGGGAAAATTTGAGACAAGATTGCAAAGCACTTTCTCTGATTTGTTTCAGAGGAAAACACAGTGCAGAATAAATACATATTTTCAAGCCAAAATCAGCACACAGAAGTAATATATTTGCATTTGTGATAAAAGGCTGCATTTAATTTGCTGTGAAATTACAGAAGTGTGAATTTTAAGCAGCAGCATGTGCTCTTGTAAAAGTAACTTAGAAGCTGATGGTATTTTGGAGTAAGGAAGAATCAGTCACAAAGTGATCATTATTTTAATGACTATAACTACTTCTCCAACCTACAGTAAAAATGAATAAAGCAAATGAACCTGAAAGTACCAAAGGAGTGGGAGCTTAATTGCCAGATGTCTTTTTACATACCTGAAGAGCATTAAGGAGCAGCTAGTGCCTGCTGTACATACATGGTGTACATATATATACAAATAACATTTTAAATAACTGGACTTATATGTAGCAATGTATTTCAACTTGCAAAGCTGAGCAGCTAGTCCAGTTTTCTTCCCACAGCAAGTGCTTGGAAATCTCTCTGCACTCAGGTTTACTGTCCACCCAGCCAAAACAAGTTGGCACATGCTGCGGGTAGCTCAGCAGTGGCTAAAGCAGAGCTGTGCTGAAGTAAGCCATGGAGGTGTGAGCGTACTGATATGCCCCAAACACTACTTGCTTTCCTCAAGCTTCAAAAACTACCTGGAAACTTGATATGTAAAAATATATTTAAAAAATTGTACATGGAAACAGTGCCATGGGTTGGATCCAACTTCCATTGCTACAAAATGTAATGGAAGGAGAAGAAAGCTAAGATAAAAGAGAACAAGCATCTGCAAATAGCAAAATGGATACGTGCTTTTTTTGTTTCTCCACCCGTGCTGTGAGCCCACTAGATGCACTGTCTGACCACAGGCTAGATAGCTGATGTATCATGACCGGCACAAGGGTAACAAGACATTCTGGTTCCTGGACTACTGGCTAAGTGAAATCATGTCCATTAGAACCCTCTATAGATAGCCCCAAGCTTCTTCAGAATTGTCTTGCAAACACCTAAAACCAACTAATTTTTTTTGCTGCTGTAAAATGGTAGAGAATGTTGGGCCTGGTAACCATGCTGGGTGAC